AGAGTCGAGACGTATACAGTGCACTAAGTGTGGAAATTCGCATATATGGGTATGCACAAACAGAAGCAAAGCCAAGGCTAGATGGTGTCAGGTCTGACATTATTCTCTATTTGTTGCTGTTCTTTTTAACTAATTTCAGTGTCAAATATGTTACTCTTCTCATTTTTTTCGCATCATTGCTGTATGCATCTGATGTATTGGATCCATTGTGCAATTAGGATTGCTGTCAATATCACCAAGCAAAGGATGGAGATGGATGGGTTGAGTACAAAGGAACTCTAGTATTTAATAGGCCACATAAGGTATTTTACACAGTACTTTTCGTGTTATTTTTCCAAGCTTAATTGTGTATACCTTGAGAGTTTTTACCTGAACACCTTTTTCTCACCCTATGCAAATGGTTCTGCTGTCCTCACATGCATTTATCAATGCGTTAAACAACAAAACAATTTTTCACTGAAGTGTGAGTTGCATGTCAGAACTGCAGAAATGACTATATAAATAAGGGTAGGAATTTGAGAGTTAGAAGTTCAGAATTCAAATGCTTAAATGGTGCTCTCGTGACTTTCAGGGATGAGATCCATCTTTCAAGGGCTCTTGTGACTTTCACATGGTTTCCCTGTTTCTATAATGCATGTTAATATCTTCATAACACTGATTTGCATGATTTGTTAAGCTGAATCATTTCCCTCGTTGCAGACATGTACATTTAAGCATCCCTTGTGATTTTTGTTGTCTTTGTTGGTTTTTATTTTTTTATTTTTTTTTCTCTTTTCATTTAGGTGGAAATACCGCGGGCCTTTGTCTGTGCTGAGAGCAAAATCTTTGATGTGTCTGAATGGGCTATTTGTCAGGTAATGGTTTTAATCAGGATATAATATCTAAGTTCTGCAAGCTTGTCCTTGTTCTACTGTCTGCATGTTTTGTACCCTATACAGCGGTGGAACCGCAAAATTACATGAATCAGGCAAATTGCCTGAAAAGCATCATTCTTATTTAAAACTTGATCTCTTGAAAGTATTCAAATTTGAGTAGAACAGTGAGCGAGCGGACCCAGTTACCTGGCAGACATCCTGCTGAACCTTGTAGCACAGAAGACACTATATTGGAAGGACTTTTAATTGTTCCTTGGACTAAGAGAACAAGTACCCTTGATCCATTATTATGTTTTTGGTGTGCATCTCTACTTTGTGCCAGGGAGAAACGAGATTGATATCTTATCGCTTCAACTTGTTCCATGCAGGGAATGGCGTGCAGGCCTAACACTCATAGGCCTAGCTTCCACGTTAACATGGTTGGTTTGGAGAAAACTCAAAGATCCAACTCAAGTAGATTCCCATGGGATTTGGATGCTGAAAAGATGGATGAAGATGAAGAAGAATTTGAGGAGTGGCTTCAGCAAGCTCTGGCCTCTGGCCTCTTTTGTGAGTCCTCTAAACGCCGAAAGAGCTGGAGTCCATTCAAGTTGCCCCAGAGAGTGAAGAGGCAATCGCGAAGAACGTCATGCTGAGCAGCTTAAGAGGGCTATGCCGGAAGATGTTCCCATCTCAAGAAAGAGCAAATGATTTTTCAGGATGTAGTGAGGATTTGTCAAGATACTGATTAATAGGTTTGTTGCTAGTGTCACCAAACGAAGGTTGGTGCTCAACAAAGAAGGGTAATGGCTTAGTGTCTTGAAAATTAAGACCAAAGATTGACACGCTTTGTATCTCGACCCAAAGGGTTAGTGCCCGATTTCCGGCATAAGAGCTCAGGTTTTTGTTGCTCTTGTTGCACGTTTAGTTTAACCCCATACTTCCAATCACATCTGACATATGTTAATCTCAAAGTGTTCTACGGATGAAAAGCCACCACCAACTGTTCCCCTTTTTGTACATATTTATCTTGTCAAATAAAATTTGTACTCCGTTTAGTTTAAGTGTTACTTTCATGGAATGCGTAATGGAGTTATTCTTTACTTTCATTGTGTTTGATAACACATTCGGAAATGAAAGTATGTGGGCTCTACGTTACCGTGCATAAAGGAGTTATTCCGATTTTTGACTTTTCTATCCCCAACTTGTTCAGTACGCGATTTTTTCCGTCCAATTAAGTAAACATGACTTTTCCTATTCTAAATTCGTCAACATGTTATCATTTCCAATTTTGGACTTTCCTATCCCCAACTTGTTCAATTTGCGATTTTTTCCGTCCAATTAAGTAAACATGACTTTTCCTATTTTAAATACGTCAACATGTTATCATTTTATCGGCTATTCTCCACCAAAGAAGAAAAACAATCTATATCATTGTCAAACAAATAGGAGATTGTGCTAGCAATGTAGGAAACTTAGAACTTATAAAATTAATGATCTGTAGTACTAGAAAACTAGCGTATAGACATAACACTTCCGCCTAATCTCAATCTTACTCATAAACAAATTTGATTATTTCTTGTTTATATCTATGATTCAAAGAAAGGGTGACTCGGATTCCAGGTAGGAGATCATACTTCATATCGCTTGCGTTCGGAATCCAGTAACAAATCTATTAACACCAGCAAAATCGGGAACTACGTTCAAATTTCAAAAGCTGCCTCCAGCATCGTTTTCCATGTACTCTACAAGATACTTGCGCACTGCTCCTCGCCATTTGTCTGCAACATCATAAGATTGAAGGGGAAGAGAGTTTAGATCAATTACAAACTAGCTGAAAACAGTAAATGCATATCACGATGTCTTTCTCATGAGGCACCTCGTAGTTGCAATTTGGAAACACAGAGTGTTTTGCTTTCACTCGGACCTCATTTTTACTTTCTAAAGTTCTAGCAAAGCGAGGAATGGACGGGATCTGAAGCATAGACTACACAATTCACGGCATACAAACCAGTTTTTAACCGTCTATTTTGATTGTAACTTCAGCTGATCTCTATCAACATATAAAGTACAAAATAACTAACTTTTGAAAGGCAAATGATAACACTTTTAACATTTAGCAAACGCAAAAATAGATACCTCGAACGCAAAGAATCCACCAGGTTTCAACATAAAAGCAGCACCTTTGCAATGATGTAAAGGATCATCCATGCCATTGATACCACCGTTCAATGCAACTCTAGGTTCTATTGAAAGTTCAAATATTTGGAACTTCCATCTTCAAGTTACTTGGCAATCAAAACACACTTGTTACCCAATTCACATGAGTTGATAGTATCATTTCCTTATAACTTATCGAATGTTTAAGAGCCTATAAGTCGCCACTCAATATTTCACTTCATAACACAGCATGAGATGTAAATAGATAGCATATGAACTCAACTATCATTCTTGTGAGTTTGTAATCTATCTAAAGTCTTTAACATTGACCAAAATATGGAAGTTGACGTTCATTTCTAATTTCAAGTACCTTGAATCTCGTGAGTTATCGGTTATCAAATCCAAGCTAATCATATGAACCAAATGCATCCCCAGTACATTAGCACTAAATCTTTAAACACTAACCTGCAAACCATACCTCTGCACATTAAAAGCTGCAAACCCTAATTGCCGCGGGACTCAAATCTGTAGCAATGACTCTCCCACCACTCCCCAAAACCCTCGCAATCCCAATCGCAATTGCGCCGCTCCCCGTCCCCAAATCAGCCCACAACCCCTCCCTCAACCCCTCATTCCCCAAAACCACATCCCCAACCAAACCAACAATGAGCTCAGTCCCCGGCCTCGGAATCAAAACCCCTTCTTCAACACACAACACCAAGTCCCTCCAATGCTCGCACCCGACAACATACTGAAAAGGCCTCCTCTCCTCAACCCTCTGCTTCCACAACATATAAAGCTCCTCAATTTCCACCCCCAGCCTAACGCTTCCCCCATTGTTATCAACATTTTCGGGTTCTTCAATTGCGTCCTCCATGAGCCGTTTGAGCTCTCTACGCAGAAGGGTCGAGTCCGGACCGTTGTCCAAGTCGACGAGTTGACCCAACAGAGGAAGCGAGGGTGTTGGCCCAGTCGTGTCGGAGGCGGTGGCTGAGTGGGTGGGCGGCCGTAGAAAGAGAGGGATTTGGGGTATTGGGGAGGTGGGTGGTGGTGGTATTGAAGAAGAAGAGCAAACGAAGCGGTGGAGGTTTGTGAAAAGAGAAGGTTTAAGGAATTGTGATTTAAAAAATTTAAATTAATACGCGTTAATAAGCGGACGATGACTTTCTAGGCAAGAAACGACATGCCCCGTAGGTTTATTAGCTTTATTTTAGGCATGGAACGACATTCCACCCGATTGCATTTTATGCTTTGTTTGTTCTTTTTCCTTTTTGTAAGACTTTGTAATAGTCAAATAAAAGATAGTTCGATCTTTCGATTTACGTTCTCAAAATTTTAATGTTTAATAGAATCACAATTTGTTTATTTATTTGATAATTGTTAAATGACTAAATGATCTTAAAATTGGTTGATTTTTAGTAGATTTGACCTTTGAAGAATGACTTAAAAAATCTACAGTATGAACCATTGTGTAACATTGCACGAGGAAAAAGAGAGTCAGTAATGTAGAATAAAAAATTTTCAAATAAGAAGATTGTTGACATTCCTGTTTAAAATTTGAACACATTTCTCTTTTGAGATTTGAACTCGTAACCTCTTCAAATAAACTGAAGACAAGATGCTATCAAATGATGGTTTGCATAACCCTATGGTTTGAATTTCAACAATTCACCATGGATGTCATTTATTTTTAACATGTAGAACTTTGACATGTATACAAATACATTATTTATATTCTCATATTTAATGACTAAACTTGGTACAAAAAAGTTGGTTCCCTTTACCCCAATGATACGGTTACGTTTGTCCTTTTTAGATTCGACGATGAAAGATTTAACGGTCATGAGATTTTATGAGCCGGTCCATTATATAATTTCCGTTAATTGATAATAAATGAATAATAGTTTCATGTCAGCCGAGAGAGAGGTATTTGTCATATGAATTTCTTTGATTATCCACCGTTGGAGATGTGATCAGTGTTATTATCAACCGTCAACTCAATTTAGTCTAAATTGTCAATAGTCCATTACTTACTTTCCTAACCAAAGGGGTTGGGTCAATCACGAAACCCAAGTCCTTCAATTTACTTCGATATTTCCATTTCTCTGCATAATTTTTTGTATTAATTTCTTTGGATAAAGCATGCAATCTCAGAACAACGATGCAAGCCTTGACAAGTTTTTTTATGTGCTTGTTCTTCTTATTCTCCCTCCTAAGAATCTCAGCTGCAACTGCACTTGTCACGATCACTCCGAGTGGATATCTAAGAGATGGCGAAACTCTGGTTTCAGTAGGTGGAAGCTATGAACTGGGATTCTTTAGCCCTGGTAAATCGAAAAGTAGGTACTTGGGAATATGGTACACTTTTTCTACTGATGCAGTTGTGTGGGTAGCCAACAGAGGAACACCACTTGGTGATTCTTCAGGACTTTTGAAGCTCACTGAGCAAGGAGTTCTAGTCCTCCTGAATAGCTCAAACAGCATTGTGTGGTCATCGAATTCATCAAGAATTGCGGGGAATCCTATATCGCAACTATTGGATTCTGGAAATCTTGTGGTACAAGATGGGAAAGAAACTAACCCCGATAACTTCTTGTGGCAGAGTTTTGACTATCCTTGTGACACATTCCTACCGGAAATGAAGCTTGGTTGGGACTTGGTTACCGGTTTTGAGAGGTCTGTATCGTCTTGGAATAGCACAGAAGATCCTGCTCCGGGAGAGTTTTTGGCACGAATGGATCAGCATGGCTTACCACAATTTTTTGTTATGAAAGGAGCTAAGATACAAGCCAGAGGAGGGTCATGGAATGGCCTTTTTTTTACAGGATACGGATACGGTGTCAGAGAACCAAATCCAATCTCTGGGTCTGAATATTTGACAGAATACGGATATGGTGTCAGAGAACCAAATCCAATATCTGGGTCTGAATTTGTGATGAACAAGGATGAGGTCTATTATGACTACAGGCTCGAGAACATGTCAACGTTCTCGAGATATGTATTGAACACATCAGGGGTGATAGAGCGGTTCACATGGTTGTACCAAACACACAGTTGGGAACTTGCCTTATTCCTAACAGGTCCGTGTGAAAGTTATGCCTTGTGCGGTCCATTTTCTAGTTGCACTATCAACAGTAACTCTGCAATATGTGCATGCTTGAAGGGATTTGTACCAAAATCTTTGAAAGATTGGAATTCGGGATATTGGTCTGATGGATGTGTTCGAAGGACTCCGTTGGCCTGCAGCGATGGAGATGGCTTCGTAAAGTATAGTGGGATTAAATTGCCAGACACATCTTCCTCATGGTTTGATAAAAGCATGAGCCTGTCGGAATGCAGGGGATTATGTTGGGGAAACTGCTCATGTACTGCGTGTGCAAATCTAGACATCAGGGATGGAGGAAGTGGCTGCGTGCTTTGGTTTGGTAACCTCACCGACATAAGAGAATTCACTCTTGGCGGTGGTCAAGACCTCTATATACGGATAGCAGCTTCAGAACTAGGTACGTCTTCGACCTTTATCTCCAATTATGCAAAGTAGGGTTTAAATGAGTTAGTGTTAGAACCACAGTTACTACAACACTACGAGATCACATGAAAAGTTTGTTTTATACGGATATTTCAGATCATGTTAAGAAAAAGAGCAATTTCAACAAGAGGCAGCTACTTGCAATTCTCCTCAGCTCTGCAGTTTTTCTCATGGGATTGCTAATAGTTGGAATAATATTGTACATACGGAAGAAGAAACTCAGATGTGAAGGTAACCATTTTCAGACACATTAAAAATGCATTAGACAAGGTAGTATTTAATTTCGATAGTGTAGCTAACTGTTCGCATCTTTTTGTCCACGCTGAAGAGATCTCCTACTATTTCAGGACACAGAAGAAAGGATTGCAGAGACGAGTATCTCAGAGAAGACGGGGAAGAGATGGAGTTACCACTGTTTGACTTGACCACCATAGCTAAAGCCACTGACAACTTTTCAAGCTGCAACAAGCTGGGAGAAGGTGGCTTTGGACCTGTGTACAAGGTAACATAAATTCATGCAATCAAAATTAGCTAAATTACTGTACAAATTTTATGTCTTTTCGAAATGATGGTCCACAGGGTACACTGCTAGGAGGAAAAGAAATTGCAGTAAAGAGGCTTTCAAAGAATTCCGGACAAGGAATGAGAGAGTTCAAAACTGAAGTTATACTCATAGCCAGACTTCAGCATCGCAATCTTGTTAAGCTTCTCGGTTGTTGCATTCAAAAGGACGAAAAAATTCTAATATATGAATTCATGCCCAGCAAAAGCTTGGACTTTTATATTTTTGGTATGATCCTTCATTTTCAACCTTATTTACCTAGGATTCAATGTGCCATTGAAATAACAGGCTTAAAGTTTTTTTTTCAGATCAGGAGGGACAAAAATTGCTCGACTGGCCTAAGTGCTTCCACATTATCGGTGGAGTTGCCCGAGGGCTTCTTTATCTTCACCAAGACTCTAGATTAAGGATTATACATCGAGATCTGAAACCTAGCAACATTCTGCTAGATGATAATATGAACCCGAAGATTTCAGACTTCGGCCTGGCTAAAACATTTGGTGGTGATCAAAGTCAAGCCAACACAAACATAGTGGTTGGAACCTAGTAAGCATGCTTAGATTTGTTTTGTGATTTATAATTTTCATTGTTCTGTTTTTGAAATTCTTTCTGACTGGTCACTGCATATTTATCTGGCAGTGGTTATATGTCTCCAGAATATGTAGTAGATGGAATCTTCTCGATGAAATCTGATGTGTTTAGCTTTGGAGTCATACTGATTGAGATGTTGAGTAGGAAGAAGAACAGGGGATTTCGTCATCCAAATCACGACCACAACCTTCTTGGACATGTAAGTATAACAAACAAGGTGATGGTATTTTACTTTAAAAAGAAGAGTGAATTAGACGGTGCTCTTCGAAGCACGGTCTTCTAATGACATGCATTTAACAGTATAGAAGGTCTGCAGCAAAGCCCCGCCACTAACATATCGTACATGTTTCAATTTGTTTGAAGGCATGGATACTATGGATTCAAGATAAACCACTAGAACTGATCGATAAAACGTTTTGTGATTCGTGCAACATGTCTGAAGTGGTAAGGTGTCTTCACGTGGGGCTATTATGTGTGCAAAGAGTACCTGAGGATAGACCAAGCATGTCATCTGTGGTTCTGATGTTAAGCAGTTGTGATGTCTTGCCGCCTCCAAAGCAGCCTGGTTTTTACACTGAACGAAGCATCCATGAATCACCAACAAGGACGCTTCCATGTTCAGAGAATACTTTCAGCACTATGATGATAGAAGCTCGGTAGATCATCATTGAAGTGCTTGTTAGTCCTTCAGTCTACCATCACAAAACGTGTTCGGAAGGTTGACATGAAGCTTAAAGTCTTTGCTGGCAAACAATGAGACATGCAATTATAACTCTGCAAGAAAAGTTTAGCGATTCCCAAATCATAACAAAGAATTGATTTGGGGTTGTTAGGTTGTTGAAGAAAATTGAAGTTATAGCTAATGTTGTGTTTATTATTTATTAATTTTAAAATTGTTCCTTAGAACAATGTTAGCAATGGATTCTTATGGTGCGTTGAATCAAGAGAAATCTAGTTGTGCATTGGATTTTTCACTCTTGGGACAATCAAAGAGTGAATATTTTCCCACGTTTTCTCGTGAACCAAACGGAGCGCTTCGAGGTAGCCTAAACTCACAATTTGGGTTACACTTGGGCTGTTTCATTTCGCATTGGTACTTCTTCATTTAGCATCAATATGTTTTAATTTAGGTTGATATGATTTAGTTTGTCTTCGATAGCTTTCATTTGGCAATGGTATGCTTCATTTGGTAATCGATATTTTTTTATCAATACACAATAAAAATATGATTGACATAATATATATGTACCAATCAACAATACATATAAAATTGCTTTAAAGAATATGTATAAAATCAAATGTACCACAACCCAACAGAAATGCAACAATCCATGTTATTTACGAAATCTTTACAAAAAAAAGTTATTTACTAAATCATACATATTACCAGACCAAGATATAGATTAAAAATGAAAAAAAATAGTTTGATAAAAAAAATATAAAGACGTCCATTGTCACGCCCCGATCCCAAGATACATCTAGGATCGTGACGTGACTGGTACTTGTACATCTATTATGCCTTGCCTCTGAGACATGACCGAAAACACAAATGAAAGGTTCAACAACGCAATAACTTTTTCTTTTATTTCATGGCTGCATCTAACCTTTGTGTTAGACTACCTACGTACCCAAAGACGGGATCAAACCATTCGTAATTCACTTTTTAATTTAATTTTGTCTTTCCAAGAAGAAACCACAATTACCAATATCCACCAACCAAATCTATTCAAACACAGCCAAATTCCATTACCTTTAATTAGCAACCTAATCGATTTCTACTAAAGTTACTCAAAACGGGACTTGAATTTCCAAATTCGATGTCCGCAACCCACATTCACTGCCGCACATATTTTTATTTTATACACTAGGTTGGAGTGCAAAAGACATTTTCAAAGTGCTAAACACACTACTTTTAATCAAACTACTAATCTTTTCCTTGATTATGATTTTTTGTCAGGTTACTAATCTTTTCCTTTTCTTTTGGTGGTTTTCTTCGAGTTATCAAAAGTCATGCCGCCAAGCTGCAATATCATTAAATTCTAACTCTAATAAATTTTTGCTAGTCATGGAGGTATCATGTATATTAATTATTAACGAAGCATGCAAAAACTGAATGTACTTCACCATATTTTTCTTGACATTACATTATTTTGTCAGAGAAATCGATCAAGTATTGGGCTTACACAGGATGATCAAATATGATATATATCTCCTTCATGTAAATGGTAAAAGACTCTCCAACTTACCGAGCATAATTGGAACGAACAACTGAAAAATCAAACAATTAATTTCCAGATACTCGCATCCAAGAAAGAAAACAACGAAAGGAAAAATAGAATGATCACCAACCCAGATAGTTGAAATTATCAGTATCGAGTGAATTATGCAAACAAATGATCGTCATGCTAAAAATCTAAACGAAATAATAAAATTTATCAATTAATTTAAGAGAAAAGTAAAGGGGAATGGAAGAATTGCCTACCTCCTGAGTTTGGAGAGAAAGAAACGCAACAGGGGGAGAGAGAGCAGCAAGTTAGATTAAGGAACTCCCCCGATCCTTATATGTATATTCCACATCGTCCAGGGGAGTGATCCTTATATGTATATTTCCATCCCTACCTAGCACGAGGCCTTTTGGGAGCTCACTGGCTTTGGGTTCCGTAGGAACTCCGTGTAAGCAGTACTATAAAGAATCAAACTGCAACTGCCTAGCAAACCAACACGACACTAGGATTACCATAAACATATACGCATCAGCAACAGAAAGACCATCCCGTGCAGTGCAAGAAACCAACTTACCTGGAGGTATCGCCATTCTGAGATCAACAGATGAAGTCTTCTACTTCCAATACTCGTTAATGCTTCTCTCTAAGTGAATAGGGTTTTAGATCTTTCGGAAGCCTTAGTGTGGAAGCAGGGACTTCAACTATTTATACAGTCATTCATCGATAGAGATCTACTCAGTCCAGCCTATTAACAGAAGGAGTGTTGATCTCTATCTCTAAGAGTTTTAGTCCCATCATGACTTGATATACTAGTGTATATCAGATAAGGATCGAAACTAGGACAGCTGCAATACATGTAACTCCATGACTCTTATCGCATTAGGGCTCTCAAACTTCCTGTGTTTCACATAACCAGTTATGCGCCACACAAGTAGTTCAGTTGTGATCTCATTGTCATTCAAACAAGGTTTTACATTCTCCCACTTGAATGTCAATGATATGCCTCAACACAATAAGAATCACGATGATCATTGAGTTCACAAACAAAATCTGCAACTGATCCTACTCAGTGACTTGTCATTTTTAAGAAAAATATAGGACCACAGAAAACAAAGCACGCATTGCTTGCACTTTGCACTCTGTGATCACATACATATTTATCATGAAAACACTATGTCACCTTTACGAGTCATGATGTTGAGAACTGATAATTTGTACCGTCAGATATCAGTTCCACATAACAAACTGAAATGATTCCAGTACCAAAGTAGTTTGTCAAAGCATAATCAGCTATTCAAACAATTCAATAATAAATAACAACTGTCACAATAACAATAAAGATAACAGCAATAAGACCTACGTAGTTCATGGAGTGCTTACTCCCACTCATTAGCAGAATCAAAGAGTTCTTTCACTCCCATGTTGAAAACATGTTTCTTGAATACTCCCACTGGTAAGGCCTTTGTCATCGGGTCAGCTACCATTAAGCTTGTGTGGATGTACTCAATTTCGACAGTCTCCTTCTTCACTTCATCTCTCACTTTTAAGTACTTAATATCCATCAATCTACTAGCATATGACCTTTTGTTATTCTTTGAAAAGAAAACTGCAGCTTTGTTGTCACAATACAACTTGAGGGGCCTGTCAACATTGTCAACGATTTCCAATCCTCTCACCATGTTTTTGAGCCAAACAGCTTGTTGAGTTGCTGCATAGCACCCTATAAACTCAGCTTCCATGGTTGAAGATGCAATACTCTTCTGTTTTGCACTTTTCCACGATACTGCACCATTAGCCAACAGGAAAATGTAACCATTTGTCGATTTTCTGTCGTCCACACATCCTGCCAAGTCTGAATCTGTGAATCCCACCAACTCCAGCTTGTCCACATAACTGTAAGTTAACATGAAATCTCTTGTTCTTTTAAGATACCTCAGTACCTTTTTCGCTGCAACCCAATGTGCTGTACCAGGATTTGATTGAAACCTTCCTAGTACACTTACTGCAAAAGCCAGGTCCGGTCTTGTGCATACTTGGGCATACATAAGACTCCCTACAAGAGATGCATAGGGCTTATCCTTCATTCCCTCCTTCTCTAATTCATTTTTGGGACATTGATCACTGCTCAGTTTGTCTCCTTTGCCAATAGGCAATTCACCATTCGAACACTTGTCCATATTGAATCTTTTAGTGACTCTGTCGATGTACTGCCTTTGGGAGAGACCAAGAGACTTCTTAGCACGATCTCTAACAATTTCTATTCCCAAAACGAATCGAGCTTCCCCCAAGTCCTTCATGTCAAAGTTTTGAATGAGCATACTCTTAGTTGTCTGTAGTAGAGACATATCGGAGCTAGCTAATAATATATCGTCCACATACAACACTAAGAATATAACCTTTGACCCAAGAACTTTCAGATAAATACACTCATCCATTTTGTTTTCTTGAAACCCTGAAGCTGCCATTACCTGATCAAATTTCTTATTCCATTGCCTCGAGGCTTGTTTTAAGCCGTATATAGACTTATTCAACTTACAAACCATCGTTTCTTTCCCCCTTTCAACAAATCCAGGTGCTTGTTGCATGTATATATCTTCTTCAAGGTCTCCATTCAGAAATGCCGTCTTGACATCCATTTGGTGAAGCTCTAAATCAAAGTGTGCCGTGATAGCTAGGATTATTCTCATGGAATCTTTGGTTGAGACGGGGGAAAACGTTTCATTGTAGTCAATTCCTTCCCTTTGTGTGAAGCCCTTCGCTACTAGCCTTGCTTTGTGTTTGTCAATGTTGCCTTGTGAGTCACGTTTTGTCTTGAACACCCACCTGCAACCAATGATTTTTGTTGTTCCAGTTGGCTGTGGAACTAGACTCCACACATTGTTTTTCTCCATAGATTCCAGTTCTTCATGCATGGCTTGTTTCCATAACGTTGATCGTGCACTTGATATTGCTTGATTGTAGGACAAGGGATCATCTTCATCACCTATAGTGTGTTCTGCCTCATTTAGATATACGAAATCAGGCAATAATACTGCTTTACGTACTCGCTGTGATTTGCGAATATTCGATTCCAACCTTGTAGTGACTGGAGCATTTATGAGATCTTCTTCAGTTGTTTGTACAGGTGCATGTACTTCACTTTCTTGGACATTTGCACAGGCCATGTGTCCCTCATTTGCTGTCTCATCTTCATAGGACATATGTAAGCTGCTATGAAGAGGACGTGGCTGCATGGGAATACTGAGAGTGGATGCGTGCTGATCAGGCAACTCACTGTCAAGTGGGATTTCTTCAAAATCTGGGGATAGAGCTGCTGAGTTACTGTAATCAGTCTCATCCTCATCTTCAAGAAATCGTGCATTATGTGTTTCCATGACCCTCGAGTGACTGTTAGGGCAATAGAATTTATACCCTTTAGACTTCTCAGAATATCCAATGAATTGGCAACTGATGGTTCTTGGATCAAGTTTCTTCTCTGTTGGATTATAAAATCTGGCCTCGGCATTGCAACCCCATACATGAAAGTGGTTAAAACTCGGTTTCCTTCCAGTCCAAGCTTCGAATGGAATCTTGTCCACTGACTTGCTTGGTACCCGATTCAATATATAGTTTGCAGTTTTCAGTGCTTCTCCCCAGAGAAACATTGGAAGCTTTGAATGTGCAAACATGGATCTGATCATGTCCTTTAGGGTTCGATTTCTTCGTTCAGCAACTCCATTTTGATGCGGAGTCCCAGGTGTAGTGTACTGAGCCACGATGCCATTTTGTTCAAGATAAGTTGCAAAAGGTCCTTTGTGTTGTCCTGCCTCAGTGAACCTGCCAAAATACTCACCACCTCTATCGGATCTTACAATCTTAATGTGTTTGTCCAGTTGTTTTTCAACTTCCAAATGAAAAGTTTTAAAACATTGCAAGGCTTCAGATTTTTCAGAAATAAGGAAAATATATGCAAAACGTGAAAAATCATCAATGAAGGTTATGAAATATGATTTTCCACAGATGGTTTTAATTGGGAAAGGTCCACAAATGTCAGTGTGTATGATTTCTAATAGACATTGGCTACGGTTTGACCCTATTTTCCTAGTATTAGTGAGCTTTCCCTTAAAACAGTTAACACACTCTTTAAAATTGCTGAAATCAAGTTGTGGCAACAAGTCTTGCTTTGTAAGTGTGATGATCCTTTCCTTAGAGATGTGCCCCAACCTTTTGTGCCAAAGCATTGAGGTTTTTGCATGGGAGAGCACTTGTTTAGAACCAACACTTTGAACATTAAAACATTCAATCTCATAAGTACAATTCATTTGCCACATATCAACTTTGAGATTAGCTTCACCAAGCAATTTATTCGAGTCATTTGAATGGAAAAACTTTACACTTTGACTGTCACCCACAAATGTAAAGCCGGACTTAACTAACTTAGATGCAGAAATTAAATTCCTTCGCATGGAAGGTACATAAAGTACTGGACTTAATTCTAAAATAAAGCTAGAGGAAAGAACTAATTTGACACTTCCTATGGATTCGACAGCAACTTTGCTCCCATTCCCCACATAGACATTGTAGACTTCATTGTTTATCACCCTTGTTTTTGAGAAGCCCTGCAAGGAATTGGTTATGTGAATAGAACAGCCCGTGTCAAACCACCAACTATTAGGAGGAATATAAACTAGATTGGACTCAACACACACAAAAACATTTATTTCATTACCTTTCTTAACAAGCCAATTCTTGAAGCCATTGCAATTCTTTCTTAAGTGACCTGTTTCTTTGCAAAAATAACACTCCTTTTCTTTCTCAGTTTCGACATTAGCAGTTTTAATTTTATAAGATCCTTTAGAGATGATGTTAGCATTTTTAAATGAAGAAGAAATTTCTTTCTTCTTCTTCTTACCAGCAGCCATGGTTGAACCTTGAGCGAAGTCCCTTTTGCGTTTTTCTCCTTGTACAAAATTCACATCAACTGATTTGTCACTCCTGAGCCGATCTTCTTCTTGTGCACACATAGTGATCAGTTCATCAATGCCCCATTTAACCTTCTGAGTGTTATATGAAACTTTGAGCTGCCCATATTTTGAAGGCAGGGAGTTCAAAGCCATATGAACTAGGAACTGATCAGTCATGGGTACTTCAAGGTCTTTCAACTTTTGAGCAAGATCAACCATCTTCAGAATGTGTTCCCTGACACTTCCCTCACCATCAAATTTCATTGAAGTAATTTGAGTTAGAAAAGTCCCAGTTTCTGCCTTGTCAGACTCTTTAAACTTTTCCCCAACTGCAGCCAAGAAGTCTTTTGCATTATCTTGTTTTGGAACACCTCCCTTAACTGAT